GAGACGTGGCCTGCCCATCTCAGCTGGGCCTTGCGCATGACGGTGATGGCACTGGGAAGTTACTACAGTAACGCTGATCAAGGGAGTGCGGTGACCTAGTGGTTATCGCGCTCGGGTGCGGATTGAGTGTTCGAGTGTTTTCTTGGGTAAATCGCTCTCATACTGTAATGGACTCATCCCATTCAGGAATTAGGCTACGATAAAAAAAAAAGTGCATTGCCATCTACGCACTCATCATTAACAATCCCAAAAAAACTCGCAGCCAAAACCAGACGCATGTCTTAAAAAAACAAAACATGGACACCATAGCCAATTCCCTTTGAGATGCGCCTGCAGGGAATCACGGCAGTTGTACTCATTAGAACAAACATCCAGTCCAAGATGATGAATACCGCTGCATGGTCCCCTGCAGGCGCGACTCATAGAGAGAACTGGGCATTTAAGTGCAGTCACTCTGTAATAAAGAGAGAACTGACCTCTTTCATCAGGATCTACAGTCTGTGACATCATTCCTTTATATAGCGGTACAACAGCGCCTCCAAAAATTCCAATAATAGGAACTAAAGAAATGGGAAGAAAAGTTAACAATAGCTGAGAGCAATTATAGACTCCCACATGCTGTAAGTTAGGTACCGCGCTTCTGTCCGAACTCCCCAATCAAGCCCTCATTTTCTCTCGAAACAAACTGCACGAGTTCCTAAACGCAGTAAGCCTGGTCAAGCTTCATCCAAAAATATGGAATTCTCTGCCAACTTGTAACAGGTATATGTTATTTGCCAGCGGGAGGTCCGTATCGAAAAAACCTTTGCCAAGGTCATAAGTACGGGGGTAACCCGAAAATACTGATCCCCGGTCCGCGGACCCCCACTACGGATCGGGTCCGCGGACTACCCTATGGACCGGTCCACGGACTACCCCCACAGACCCCCTCTACGGGCTACCCCCAAAATAGAATAAAGATGATACATAAGTATTTCACTTACGGATTGTCTAATAAAACTGTAGATTACTCGTGTCGGCGAAATTTCGAACATTGTTGTGCAAATGTAACGGACTTGGGTCCAGGCTCGGGCGCAAGTTATATCATTACACATTGCCATTTCCTTTGCTGTGGTCAAACAGTATATGAAAGACCGGGAAGCCTCGAAATTTGTGCTCTTTCCCCTCTGCCATTTTGTTCAGCCCATTCTGCCGTGCGTTCGCGAACTCGTTCCAGACTTCACAATTTGCTCAGCGGGATTACAGATACAAACAAGCTTAAACGACCTAAAAACACATCTTCCATAGCTAGATTGAGCCACGAATGGAAGGTAAGAACTTTCCAGCTTTTTTGTCATCGGTATCTCCTTACGCTGAAAACAGTTTTCAGACGTTTTTCCTTTTTTTTCTTAAAAACCTAAGTCTGTTACATTTGCACAGTGTAACACTCGAAATTTCACTGACGCGAGTAATCTCTTATAGACAACCCATAAGTGCAATCTTTGTGTATCATTTTTATTCTGTTGAGGGTGGTCAGTGTTTTCGGGTTACCCTGAGTACGGTGAAGACTGTAGGCCGTTAGTTGTTTCAAGGCCAAGGGCAAAGATTTTCTCCGTACAGACCGACCGAGGTCGGCAAATAACATTTAATTTTTTGATAAAACTGCCAAAATGAACAGGGAAAGATTAAACGCAGAGTAAAAGAGCCACTGAAATGCCGGTGCATAACAGATGTTCTTCGCTTCCACTATCCCAGTCCATGCCCTTTTTACTTCTCATTGTTTACTGCTTTGTTCATTTTTTGTTTATTTGTTTGTTTTTTGCTTTTACGTAGCCTACATAGTTTAAAGTGAAGCGAAACCTATGTTTCCGACCGAAAAATAAAAACTATTACCCAGTAGTTCTCTCTTACCTAAGAATACCATCCACGTACGATCACTAAAGGCGAAGAAAACGAGCGAAGCGCACTGTGACACCATACCAACCCTGGTAACATTGATCTCGGACATGAAGCGTTTAAGAATTCCGATCCCAGCGATGCCACCAAAGCCTTGCATAAAGAACCTAAAGGCCATGAACACACCTAGAGTTCCCGGGCCCCAGCAGAGAGGGGTACGTAGGACAAATAGCGCCACCACCCCACTGATGCCCATGACTCCCAGGGTGATTATACCATCCGATATTAGAAGCATGATGAGGTTTTTTCTCCCGCCGTTTCTCGGTTTTTTGTACACACTCCAGATCGCTCTGAAGCTGTCGAAACTGAAAAATCTCATCTTCTTTTTCTGGCTTTCCTGTTTGGATTCCGGCACCATAAAAGCTGCCCACAGTAAAGAGGCCACGTGACATGCGAAAATGAACCAGTAAGGTGGGATGAAACCGAGGTTCTTTAACCACGCACCGCTGGTCACCTGGCTCACAACACCACCAATGAATACAATGAACTGGACAACAGCTTAAGGAAAAATGTTCACGTTAGAACAACAACAACAACAACAACAACAACAACAATAACAGCAACAACAACCAATTTGCTTTCTACAGGTCTACTGAGGTCAATTATCCGGAAAACAAAATTCTGAGCAATTTCTAAGTTGCCGCCGTTGTTTCGTAATAACTGGAATTAAGATCATTAAGTCAACGTGTGTGGAAACGCTGTGCCGGATCAAAATAAATATGAAAGATTTTTTTTCATCAGGCCTCAGTTTTCACTGTTTCTTACTACCTTTTTAAACAAGTTAATAGAAAGAGACTGACGTTAACTACTAACCAATGTGAATAGCAAGTTTTTGTTCAGTGGTTATATCAGAAACATAGGAAAACGCTGCCATGGTCATAATGGTGGCGAAACCCGAGAAACCATTGATGGCCTCTCCAACAAAAAGAATATACACAGGCCAGTCTAGGTACATTATGATAAGGATAAGAATAGCCTCGATAGCACTCCCAATAGGAGGGGCCAGCAGAGCGGGGCGTCTTCCACCGGTGTCCGTCCATGGTCCCAGAAGAAGGACCATCAAAATGGATGGTAAGGACAGAAAGAGGACATTGCCCATGTCGATCTTCGCGGCTATGTCTTGAACCTAAAAGGGATAAAACCGGATTCAAAGATTGGCGCTTCACGTTATCAGAGTTAAGCTCTTTCATTCGCGATGAAAATGCTTGGGACTGCTACAAGATGTGCTGACGATACTACTCAATTGTCGTTACTTGTCTCAATGATATTTCTCGTAGCACTAGTTGGGGCCGGAGAATCTAAACATGGCGAGTTTTCTTCGCAGGCTTCATTTGCTCGTCACGCCAAGCTATTTTGTGTTACAGGGAGAAGTATTGCGTGACTATGGTGGTACGTACCTCTTTTTCTAACTCCTTCATGGACGAGTTTCCGCCATCATCGACGCATCCCTCCTCTGAAGTGTCCGATATGTTATAAGGAAAGCCCTTGGACTTACTGACTCTGTAATACACGTATTGCGTCAGCACCGGCAGGCTCATGAACAAACCAAATGTGTAAAACAACACAACCGGCTCCACTGTTAGGTAACGCCGCCATCTTGGCAAATTCAGCGGCATTGCGGTAACTCGCTAAGAGATAAGACAGTGAATTAGAGATTACTTTGAACTGACCGAATCTATGAACAGCTCTAACGCCGGACAAACATCATCGCGTAACGCTTACTTAAACCATCACGCAAAATGTAATCGGTCACGCAACACACTGACATTGTGTGGCGATTTTGTTTCCCTCGCGAAAATCAAGCGAGTAGGATTTAACAGGAGCGCCGCTTTTCATGTTTGATCATGTATGACGGTCGAATATAGTGCTATAGTAACACAAACAATGAGAAAAAAAGAATAAACACAACCAATATGCAAATATGGACCCTTAGACAAGCAACAAAATGGGCACAAACGTGCCAAAAGATGGCCACCCTTCACATCTTATAAACTACTGCACGGTCATAATCCGCGCCCTCAACGAAAGTTTCTACTTTGGACGATTTCTACTCCTTCATGCTCAAAATGCAACATGCTGTAAATCTGCGCGAGCGGTTCGATTACATAAAGTTCTCGTTGAAGAAAACGCATTTGCAATTTAGCGATTCACATCCTATGAATTAAATGCTTCTTTTTTTAATTTTCAGGTAGAAAAACTACAATCGTAACACGCGAAGGCAAGTTTTTATTTCGCCAAAAAGGGTCGCCCTTACACAAATTCTGTCCCTCTCCTATCTCGACCTCGCGGCGTGACTCCATTTTCCCAAACAGGGTTGAAATTTTAAATTTTTATCATTGAATTAATTAGCGATCGTATCAATTTTTGCCCGCCGCTGAATAAACAGCTACAGTCCTGATTTATTACTGTTGTAAACATTGCATCGAAGAAGGAACTGAATACTTGGAACGAATTACTCCATGGTCGAATGTAAAAGTGACCGCAAGAGAGACCGAGCATAATTGATGCTCAAAGTAAAAGTTACTTGCGCAGTTACTTACCGTATTTGAGAAGTGAGAAACCCGAAATCCTCTCGTTCTCGTACTGTTCTTGACCGCTTGTCTCCTTTTGCCCGTTTGATGCCGGACAGTATGCTTTCACAGATCGTTGTTTTGTTTACTGACTCCCAAAGCTCGCCAAGTCAGTTTATATTCATGGATGCTGATTCACCTTTGACCTTTTAAAACAAACCGGCTTCAGAAGCACCGAGCCTGTCAAAAGTAACGCATTACGTTATTACATTGCGTTGAAAATGTCAGGTGATAGCTTAAAGGCTATATTTGTGCACGGTCCGATCTCGGGAAGATGTCCTTTCCCAAGTTATTTGGATCGCCACGCTATGCTCCTGTCGTTGCGTGACGAGCCGCCTACCCGTAATGGGCACTGAAAGGTTGCGTAAGGACCTGGGCACGGGACCTATCTTCTCCATCCCTTTACACGACTATTAATACGCGCGTTTCGAACGCCGAAGGAAGCCCTGTGTTAATACTTAAGGGCAGAGCATAGATTTAGCTCAAATATCAGCATTGTAGTATTGTAGTATTGTACCATATTGTCTTCAAAAAGCCCCCATGGGGAAAGATAATAAAGGATGTATGTGTGTATCCATACGGGTAGATTATGCCCTCATATTGGACTACTGCAGAAAACTCAGTTTAATTGCTCTCATAAAACAGAAAATTGATTGATTACATTATCTGTGATCTACACTAAGCTCAAAACACGCCTTGGAGAAGGCTTTTCTATTAATTCTACTAATTGCCTTTAGAAAATGCAAAATTAAAAAAAAAGGAAAAGAAAAGAAAAGAATAGCCGAGTTTCAAGAAGCAGTTTTCGTATAGGCTAAAGTTTGTTTAACAGGTAAAATGTACTCGTTGCAAGAAAACAGATTGAAAAAGTTGTCATAAAAAGTATATTGCTTGTCGAAGTAATCTTATTTGGTCATGACGTTTGCGGAAATATTAATCAACAGACATTACATTTGAACAGCACAAAACACAAAAGCAATACATTTTTAAGAGGCAAAACGCGGAAAATTATGCTAGTAACCGAGATTTCAGCACCATCATCCAGGCTGGTTCAGTTCAGGCTAATTTTAATTATTTTTTTGTTATTATTTATTTTTTTATTATTTATTATTATTATTATTTTATTTATTTATTTATTTATTTTGCCCTATATAAACCCTATGAGGGAGCCGGTTAAAAGGCCAGCCGACCAGCGGTACTAGAGATCGCGGAATGCGAGGTTCTTGCAGACTAGCTCATATTATCTGAGAAACGGAGACCATCATAAGATTATTTACTCCATTCATAAGACTTAAGATGGAATCCACCACAAGTTCGAGTAACAAGTGGACAAAAACCTAGTACCAAGATTATTTACATCGTATTGCAAACTTCTGTACGACTGTTTCAAATATCTTCTCAAAAAAAAAATCATTTCTAGTAACACCAAACGTCAAAAACGAATGTTGAACTTCGTATGAAACACTTGAAAGTACTGGTGAAATGAAACTGATGATGAAATTTTGCCT